GAAATGACATTTTGTAAATGAAACTGTGCTTGCAATACAGGGCCAGCCACAATTGCAGTCCCTTTGTTCTCCAAACAGCTCTTTGTCAGCACTCCTTTGGCCATAAGCCACCCCAAAATAGAAGGTGGAGCCATGGGGTAGCAGTGCTCATGCTGTTCCTGGAACAGTCTGGGGCACAATGCCTCCAAGTCATCTCGCCAGGGTTGTACAGCACCAGGCTGCCATCAGTAGAGGACTGGGTCTAGAAGTCACAATAGCCCCCTTAGTTTACCTGTGTGAAAACATGATTCACTGGGACTAAATATCTAAAATCAATGAGGACAGTACTATAGATTTTCAAATGAATATATCCATAAAAGAGCTCATGACGTAAAAACAATGGTAAATAAATGACTGAGATAACATATCTGTGCAGATCACTACGCTATCCAAGTTCCATTTTCAAGCACCTCTATGATGGTAGTAATAATAGACCACATTTCAGAAACATACAAAGTGTTGGAGCCCTGGGGGCTGCCATTTTTTCACTTGTATAAGCAATGATTACTAGGTTTAACCATCCATCATGAAATTTGAGTTGTTTCCAGCAATTTAAAATCACCTTGGGACCCATTATAACTAAAGTGTCAACAAGATTTTTTCCTCCCATTTAAATGTATGATCTATAAGAGACAACGGAGTGTGCTGTCTTATTCTTCCAGAACTCATTGAGAAAACCAGTTATCAGCATTGTTTTTAAAAAAAGGCTGTGTCTTTGTATGAAGTTCTACTTTAAAAGAATTACCTCTTTCTTATTGTCATAAACACGTACTTCCCCAAAGTTCCTGTTTTTTAGAAGTTGTATTAATTGCAAATGTTGTTTTCTAGAGGAAAGCCATGACTGAAGCTGTAAAACAAAAGGAATAGTTGTAAATTTAATTCTTTCAATGAGGCTTTGTTTCTTATTGACTAAAAACTTCCTAAAGGAAGTAAAGCTGGGAAAATCCAGTAAGGAATTAGATTTGCCAAATCCAGTTCCTACTTGGATTTGGATGAAAAGTTTTTGATATTCACTTGAAAGAAATATGAGCAAAAAACCCCCAAGACTAATAAAGTATCAAATATATACTTGCCACCAGTTAAAAGTTATAACCTAGCTTTCTCTCACATATACCCACAAAATTTATGTACACCAGTTATATAAATAACCTAGCTTTCTCTCACATACACGCACAAAATGTATGTAAGTTTTAAAATCAGTAACTTCCTGATGTTTTACAGGGGCTGCACCAAAAATTTATTTTTTGTATTTGTTTTCAACTAAGTGAAGTGCATTCAGACATTGGCTTAGGGATCCAGATAAATGAATTTGATGAGAAAAGTACCGATGAAGCATTTACTCTATTGAAACACAGTGTGCAGCATGCAAAATAGGGAAAAGTTTTTAAATCCTTTACTATGACAATGACTAGTTGTGTACTAAACAGTATGGCAGTTTGGTAGTAAAACTGATTTTCCTGAAGGCCTTTCAGATACACACACACTTTAACTTTGTACAGATCAAAAGTACCAAGATTTGACAAGCCAAAAATGTCCTTAGAACCTAAATAAACATTTACTGCTGTCCTGCAAATCACAGAATATTCTGATTTCTCATCCTAAAATAATTTAGAAACAAACTCCTAGCTCCCTCCAAATATTGCCTTTTATATTTATCTCTCTTCCTGGTTAATTAAAGTGCATGTTGGAAGATTAAAAGATTTGTTATAGGTTGCTTAGTTCCTTTAATCCAGCTTGATTTCAGTGGAAGAATTTGCTCAGAATTTTGCATGATTCTGCTCTTAGCACAACCAGTTCTGTGTTCTAATTTAAAAGAAAAGGTCAAAGGTCCATCCCAAACTAGGTGGCTCATTAATCAGTGTGGTTAAGGCACACCAGTTGCTGTGGCATGCAAGGAGCAATGTGGCTGGCATTATATCTGGCTACTTTTAACTCCCTAGACTGAATGTTGAAGTACCCATTTATAGGTGGCTCAACTGGTAACAGCCTTTGGCACAATATGGAACAAATCCTGAACTTGCATCTCTGGAGCTGTAGCAAGATGTCTTTAACAGCTCTACCATTTCAATTCTGTATTTCAAAAATCTTCATTTTATGGTTAAACATATGGCCAATTTTAACCTTAGTCCAGCTTTAACCTCAGTCCAGCTTTAAATGATGTGGATGCAAACAAATCCACAAAACTTAACCACAGATACTTAAATGCACCAACTTGTGCTTAGAGATTACGGGTGCTTGCAAAATTGAATTTTAAAAATTAGCCCTGGGTCTGTGCAGTCTATGAGTAGAGATATATGGAAGTATAAGTAAAGGAACTCCTGCCTGTGGTGCTGCTGGAGCTACCCACACCCTGACTCACATCAGGGTGAAGGTTGCCACCATAAGAAGCTCCAGCCCACAGACAACATGTTTGACACCCCTAAACTATGGTACCTTGATGCAACCCCACAAGCAAGCTCAACCTAAATTTGAAGGCACATGGCCTGGATTCTGTGGTATTTGGGTGCAAAAGCTCAAAAATTCCACACCAGATTCTAATACATGAAAAAAGAAATACAATAATACAAAATATTTTGGTAAGATACAATTTTAAAGATTAAATGTTTAGCCAAAAACTATCCTATGTTGTCTAAAATGAGTGCTTCACATTTCTGCATTGCACTTCTAAACACAGCACTTGCCAGCTGTTTTTAGGATAAAAAAGGTAATTTTAATTTACACCATAAATTGCTAGCCAGGCCTCAGCTTGGCTTTGCAGTTCACTATATGTCTGAGGCATAAATTATTTAGCATTAACACATGGTCTGTCATGTCCTGTTACTTAAGTGTAATATGGCTTTCATCCATGTATACCCAAGGGAGCCATCTGATTGGCTGCTGGTGATGTCACCCCCATTTGGTAATCCTTGGTAAATCCACAGGGGACAGTTAGACCACTCTGGGCAAAGCTCCTGGTGCTGCTGCTTCAGGTCTGTGCCTAGTAGCAGATTCACTCCTACTCATCACTCTTAGGTTCACTGCAGGTAGTGACCCCAAGTAAATGGTGTTCCATAAAAACACAATAAAACAAAATATGCAGCAGATGAGCTATGGTCTCTTTATGTAACATCTCATGTACCCCAAAGAGTGGGGGATTCTGTGGTACTTTGGTTTGAAAGCTCAGAAATCCCACGCCAGAGTCAAATAAATTAAAAATGGGGTAGTTGTAAAACATGAAAGACAATAATTTAGTCAATAATTTTTGTATGCTATTGAGCGTATTCTCTTATTTACATTCTGCTACAGACTTTTGATTTATAAGTGTTAGTATAAGGGGGAGAAAAGATTTTGCATCTGATAAGAGGTAGGAGCATCTCAGACCCAGAGGTGTGAGATGTGGCTTGGACTGTAGAAAAGCTATACCAGATACATGCTTCCACTAACTTGATCAGCAACTAAATAGCTAGAGGGGCTGCTTATTTTCATTAGTTTTCAATTACATTCCACTTAGATTAACAAGACAGTTCACCTAGAGCTACTGCTTCAGCTGTTTGTTTGCAGCCTTAGTCAAGTATCACTGCTCCAGTTTGGACTCGATGCGTATGTGGAAGGGTCTCAGAACAAATTAAAGACCACAGCCTTATTTATTTTTTAAATGAGGTCTTAGATTTTGCAGCAGTGTCATTAATGGTGGAATGCCAGCGAGCACAAAACACCTGATCCGACAGGAAGGCAATTTTTGTTTGCATTTCATCATGGCAGTAGAAGCTGCTTAGCTTCTTGCTCTTTCTGACGATGAGGCATCTGAATAGGGTTTCCACACCAGCTGAGATTAAGGGTATATGAGTTTGCTGTGGTGCCTACAAAGGTGGGTCTTTGCTGCCCATTAGATGCTCTGCTGTAACAGCCTGTGTGGATGCTCCATCGCCTTGGCAACTAACCTACAGCAACGAAAGAGGCAAGTTACCGCAGTTTGACTTCCACTTACCACAAGCCAAACATTTGTATGTGAGCAGATACCACAGAGAGTCTGAGCTGCAGTGAAACTGCACCTCTTTTAACCCGTGTCAGGGGTGTTCAAAAATGTTTTGCACTGTTTCTATGGAAACGCACCACGGCTGTCCCTGTGGCCTCTGGCTTTCTGAACTTACTCTCTTCTTTCGGGTAGGAAGATAACGTGCAAACTCTGGGGCCAGACTGTCTCCTTCCCACAGTTCTCCGCTTGGTCTTTCTGGAGAGAACAAGTCCCCGTGCCACACACCGTGCCGAACCCCACGTGCCGCACGCCGACTTGCAGTGGCCCCGTCATGACTTGCTGATGGATGGAGCGGGCGGAACTCCTCCAGCAGTGTCCGGCTGGCAGCGGCGGGGACAAGGACACAAGTGAGAGCGACTGAGGGGTCCGGCGAGGCAGGGGCTAAGCGCCACAATCCAACGGCGACTGAAAGGGGCCCCGAGTGTCAGCCACTGCCTGGGCTCCCAGGAGGCCAAGGGCAAAGCATAGCAGCCGCGGGCCCGACAATTGGGTCAAAACCAGGGATCCTCGTTTTCTCCGATTTAGAAAAAAAACCCCAAAAAACAATTTTTGGTTAAAATAAAAGCAACCCCAAATCCACATTTTTCTGTGATTTAAGTGAAATACTACTAATATATATATATATATATAATTGAGGTTTCATTTTAATCGTGGGAAAATGTGAATTTAGAGTTACTTTTATTTAAACGAAAATTTAAATCAGAGAAAACCAGGTTCCCTGGTCAAAACCTTGATGTTAAGGCCTCTGCAGCAGCTGCCCAGCCCCGCCGAGAGAGCCCAGGGCCGGGCCCAGGGAGCAGCCCGGGGGCCTCGAGGGCAGCAGCCGAGGCTTAACGGTCCGCGGGTGTCACGCGAGTCACTCACTTCTCGCGAGAACCCCGCCGCCGCGACACCCAGCGCGACTGCGGGACTGGGTGGCTCTCGCGGTACTTGGAGCTGCTCTCGCGAGCGTTCGCACCCGGAAGCAGCGTGGCCTCGCGGACCGCGGTGCGGGCTCTGCGGGTGAGGAGGGGGTTGCCGAGTCTTCCAAGAGCCGCGGAGGGGCAGAAGCTGCCTCAGGAGTCGGACATGCCCAGCGCCGCCGGCAAGGGCCAGGAGCGCGGCCGGGACAGCATGGAGCCGCCGCCGGCTGATGTGGGTGTGCGGGGTGGCGCGGGGGGGAGGGGAGGGTAGGGCTGCGGGGATCCCATGGGAACGGGCTCCCCGCGCCCGTCAGCCCCCGCGTCACGTCGCGCTGACCTCACCTAGGTGACGTCATGGGGGGGGTCTGTCGTCATAGCTGCCCCTTTGCCGGGGAGGGTGGTTTCCCCTCAGATCTAGAGCAGGCTCCTGTGGTGCTCACAAGGATTTGGTGCGTGACGTCATGCCTGTGGCAGTGTCACTGCCCAGGTGTGACACACATGGTGCTGGCGCGGGGCAAGCTGGAGGAGCGCTGCCGACACCGTGCTTCTTCCCCGGGCGCTGCCATGGGATCCTTCCAGGGGTACCGCAAGCTGTTATGTCGTGTCAGCGCAACTCGCTGGCTAAATTCAGAGATTATGAGCTGGGGCACAGAGCGGCCTGCTGTGGGCTGTCTGCAGTCGTGGCCGTGGGAAAGAGCTGCCGTGATATCTTTTCGTAGTAAAAAAAATGAGCAAAAGCCAGCAGTTTTGGAGGGGGTCTCCTGTCTTGGCAAGGTGGAGGACCGCTGTGCTAAAGGAGCTTTCCACGCAGGTTACGTTGATTCCTGTCCACTGAAAGCTTTTTCCTCCCACAGAAGTTTGAAACACGGGCTTAACTTGGACATTATCGCTATTGATTTCAGTCACCCTAAGGCGGCTAATCATGTAACGATCCCTCCCTCCCCATTTTTGTATTCAGTTATTTAACATGGCTCATTTTTGTTTGGTTTTTCATCTCCCTTTTAGGATCATGCTAAGGAAAGGTATGGCGTGTCCTCAATGATACAGTCCCAGGAGAAACCAGGTCAGTCACACATAAAACGTTGCTTTTTATTTGAAAAATAATGTTTTGTTGGTTATTCAGGGTTCTCACTTTGAACTAAACCTTTTCTTTGCTGTACTGCTTCTCAGTCACCATCTGTCTCCCTATCCGTGCCCTTTTATCTAGTGAATCAGCAAAGTTAGAATCATAATAAAAAAAAGAAACCTTTCCAGTCACTGCCCCCTGTGCTGTGTTAAGAGATTTGGAAAGAATTTTCAGCAGTTTTTCAAAGGCACGTTGGAACGCTGAGCAATAAATACAGATACTGCATGTTTTGTTAAAGTAATAATTGTTTAATGGGGCAAGGTCCTTGGATTTTGCATCATCTGCCTGCATCATCAGCTGCTCACACTAATAAAAGTAGAAATATATCTCTGCCACTGCAGCAGCCTTCACTTCTCTGTCATGTATGGGTCAGTTTCCATTTTAATGCTCTATACCTTAAACTTAAACTTTCCTCTGGATTTACAGGGTTGCTGTTGTAAAAATGACTTAATCAGAGCTTAGTCAGTTCTAGAAATCCTAGGACTTGAAATCACATTTGTTCCATTGCTTTGGAACGAGTTCTGTCATGAGACCTGCAACAGCTGTCTGTTTAGATACTGTATTTGGGTTCTTACATGGTCTTCTTCACTGTTATGCATGAGCCCCAGTAAATGTTAATGGAACTTATCCTCAACATGGTGATGGAGGGATATATCATTTATATCTTACAGTTGGTGAACCAAGAGATGCTAAGCCAAGACATTTGGCCAAGATCTCCATACCACTCCAGCACTCTAACCCAGGGGTGGCCCACAGAGCCATTGCATCTGGTCTGCAGGCCTCCCCACAGGTCAGGAAATTTGGTGCGGGAGCGGTGGCCATTAATACAGACACCCTCCCACCTGCCAAATTCCCAAGCCCCATGTGGCCCAGCCGCAACCCCTTCCCCCATGGGGTTGGCCTGCAACCCCTTTGCCCTCTGCAGGGCCAAATTGGGGCCAGACCATGCTCCCTTACCCTTCTGCAGGGTGGAGCCACATACCCTTCCTCCTCCTGCGGAGCCAAATCAAACCCCCTTCCTGGGGAGTGGGGGGGTACTGGATTGCCTCCCACTCTCCTCCGCACAACTGGACGGCGCCCGCTGCTTCTGCCTCAGGCGCTGGATTGGCTCCTGACCGACTGAACACTGCCCATCTGGTCCCCTGGGAAAAATGTTGAGCCCTGCTGCTCTAACTAGTTGATTGGTCTCTTCTCATAGCCTCCAGAACTAGGAACTTTGGCAGAAACAAAGAAAATGTAGGAAAAATCTGTCTCATGTAGGTTTCCTTAGTGCTGGAATGAGGGAGAGGGATCTGTGAAAGGCAAGAATTTTTGTGAGTGATATCATTTTAATGGACCAGCTGCAAGCTTGGGATAAACTTAGACAAGCTTTCAAATGTGAAATGTTCTTCATCAGGTGGTCAGAGAGAGGTGTTTCTTTTACAGTCATGTCATAATAAAAAGTCGTTGCTTCACCCTGTATGGAGTTGCATAGCTCATCCTTGCTCAGAGAAATGTGAGGGAGAGGAAGACTTGACAATTAAAAAGTAGCAGTAGGCAGTGACTGGCTAAAAGGAATCAATGTATAAAAAGTGTACCAAAGAAAAAATTAAGTCTTGGGAAAGACCTTAGATCCACAGCTGCTATTGCCAGTTGTGATTCTTCAGGACCTCTAGCCTGGACTATGCAAGGAGAAATAACTGAGAGAAGACCAGAAGTAATAACAAGAAAAAGATGGTATGTCTCTTCAGCCAGCACGTGACCATCTGGCCTTGCTCTCCGCTCTCCAAGGATTGCCTGATTTTATTTATTTTTCTGTCTCTTGCTCTGCTCTTTCCCCATGGGAATATCACTACCCCAGCAAGGAGGCTTAGTGTTCTAGAATTCCTCAGTGCTGGAGAGCTTGTGTGCCCCTCTTACCAGTTTTATAACTTCCATCCCTTTCTTTAAATTGTTTCAGATGAGCCTTATCTTTCCCTTTCTACATGAAGTACTGTGTGGGCCCTGGCTACTTCCTATAATATCTCCTCTCAAGGGGAGATGTTATCTTTTGTTTCTGACCCAATGTTAAGTTCCCATTACAGACTGTTTTAAAGTCTGAAATTTGTTCTTCTGGCTACAAAATCCTTTTTTAGTCTTTGATCATTTTTAACATGGGCTTTTACTTTACTCTGTGGAATATCAGATCACTCTTCTTTCCCACATTCTGGTTTCTAAATTTACCTATCAGTGTATAGCAGCATAGGAAGGCAGACGGGCACCCAGGGCACAGGGGCAGCTGCAGTTTCAGGTTACTGCTGCAGCTGCACTCATGCAGCTGCTGGCACCAGCAACTTTTTTCCCCCTTTTCCCCCACCCCAAGTCAGCAGGGTGAGGTGGCTGCCCCATTCACCCTGCCCTACTTACACCACTACCAGAATATACCCATTCATTTTAACTTTACTAAAATTCTTATTTGTGCCTCAGCCGCTTCCTAAATTGTCTCTTGAAATGCCTTTTCCTGTGTTGTTTCCAAGTAATTAGGTCTTACATTTTCAAAATTGACTCATGGTTTTGGTTGCCTTGGTTTTTAGGGATTTACGTTATGAGTTGTCTTAGTGGGGCACCTAAAAATCAATAATATTTGGACTTTGAGTCCAGACTGATGTGTCCAATTTCTTCTTTCATTCCACTAAATAGTTATTATCAGTCTGTTGAACTCACAGATTGCTAATTCATCTACAGTCCAAGTAAAGAATTTTCTTCTAGTTAACAAAAAACATTTTATAGGTTTTCCACCCTCCTACACTTATCTCATACCCACGTGTCCCTTTTGTCTCGCCCTGCTTAGAATTCTGTAAGTTGAGAATTTCTTCTGCAAATGTTGACTGCCCTTCCTATCTGGTGTTCTCTCCTTCTGTTACGTCATGTCTTTTAACATTGTTTCTGTCTGCATCATACTGTAATTGCTTATAAAAAAAAAAAAAACCCCATTTGTCTTTTCATTTTTTCTCCCTTCAGCCCCATTACTGCAGTCCTTTGTCTCCCTTCACTCTAACTGCTAGTTTAATTTTTTTACTGCTTTTGAATATAAGGGCTTTTTATTTAACCTTTGTAAGTCATCTTTCACATTCTGCTTTATTTATTTATCCAGCACCATAGTGATTTGTTATTTCACAAGGATATCAGAAGCATAGACCCTGTCTGTAGTCTATACTAGATGTAGTCTATACTAGAATCTGTAGTCTAAACTAGATAAATAGTGATACCATAACAAAAAGCAAAGGTTGAGCTTGGGAATAGGAAGAATTAAAGGGTGAGGGTGTTTCAAGTGCTGAAAAGACATGGCTGTCCTGGCCCTAGGATGCACATGGAAAAAAGGCAAAGGGTATGTCTACTTGTGTCCAGGCACAGCTGATCCACTTCATTGAGTGAAACACACATTGCCCTTTGTCCTGACCATTGATCTGAAGGATAACGGGTGACGTGTTCCCTGCTTTCAAAGATGTACCCTGGAGACTGCTGGGAGCATGTCTTTGAAAGTGAGGAAAGCTGAGCAGGCACTCTGGGGGCAGCTGGAGAGTGGCAGCTCTGGGGTGCGCTCACTCTTCTGCCATAAAGCAAATAAACATCCACTGTAATAAGGCAGCACAAATTTACTACCTTTGTCTCAGCCACTAATTTGGTATTTGCGGTATAATGAAGGCTATGGACATCTTTTTGCTTTGTGCTGCCATAAAAATTTCAATGGTGACACAAAGATGATGAAAAGCAACATCTGTTTCCACCCTAAAATGCATAATTAACTTTTTAGATTAGCAGTCAAGACAAGATAATGTCATCTTTATCCGTGGTTGGCAGCTCATGTTCAAACTATAGGGGAACCTGGGATTGATTTTTTAAGCCATTAATCCTCGTTAAAACCCAGTTTACCTTGGCTGCTATTTTAACTCAGATTTAAAAATGTACAAGGTAAGAAGAGTTGAGCACAACTTGAGTTGCGAGAGGATGAGTAATTGGAAACAAGGGTTGAAATATAGGCAGGAGCAAAGTTGTGTAGTATATTTAAGATCAAGCATTCTTGTTCTCACCTTAATCTGGAGAGAATTCGAAATCCATTGAAGGACCTATGAAAGGAATGAAATGTTTGGTGTGGCATGAAGGGAAGATTTTTTTTTTTATTTTATTTTTTTTAGCTTCAGGATGTTAAATGGATGGAGAAGTGATGAAAGGGAGATTGTGAAGGATTGGTGACAGTCATTCAAGGAAGAACAACCTATGGCAGAAGCTACCAGCTTGTTAGCAAGAAGAGGAAAGAAGGGTTAAAGGGAGAAGCAGCAAAACATTAACTTTTTTTCCAGAAGTAGACATAAGAATTTTTTCTTTATTATGCCTGTCTTTGGAGGTTGCTTTATTCTTTTTATGTAAGCTAAAATAGGTTTAAATAATTCATACGCTATCCATTTTTTTTTTTTTTTTATTAAGATGTGTCCCAGTTGGTCTTGCTGAAAGCCAGATCATTATATGTCCAGTACATTTTTTAAAATGTTAATACAATGCAGATGGTGAGCAATACACTGGGGGCTTATCAAAGGGGTGACACCTCATTCAGTCTTTGTATTAGTGCCTGGAAAATGTTATAGCTTTGAAATAATGCAGTTTTAAATTCAGGTAATTCTAACTTTGTCTGATACCAGTATTTTGAATTGCTAGGAACTAGAGATTGCAAAGTTTTGCATCTGTGGCGCTGAAATTTGCGGTCCTGAAGTTGCCGGTTTGGTCACAATACTTCACTCCCACTCTTTTTCCCCCACCACTTCCCTCTGTTGATAAGCATTTGGGTAGATTTTCTGTCACTTCACTCTCTGCACTTTCATTCTGTTGCTTTAGTTAGTTTCTGTTTATCGGTCTACAGAGGCGAGGTGCTAAACAGAGATCAGTGTGCTCCTAATAAAATTTTAAGCGAGAATAAGATTATAGTTCCATGTAACACCGATGTTTTAATGTCACATCACCCTACAGAAAAATTAAAATGAGTTTTCAGATGCAAAAACTTAATTCCCAGAAATTGAATCCCATCCCAGTGCAGAATAATACAGTTGTGGGGCAAGCTGTGAAAAGTCTTCAGAGACAGAGGGGAAGAGTCCAGAATAGCAGATGGTAACCTGGAGTGGGCAAACTATGGGAGAGTTTTTTTAATGGGAAGAGAAGCCCAGGGTAGAGATGGTGGCGTGTCTAATTAGGGAAATTAAACTTGGTATTTAGAAATGGATAAGCTTATAATCAAGGCGGGAGGCTAGATTGCTTGTATTATTGATTCTTTCTGAAGACTATCTCCCTAAATGAGAAGTTTTTTTTACTATGAATAATTGAATGATGCTATAGAACTGAGTTCTAAAATATATTGCTTATGCTGCAGTTGTACTTCAGAAATTGTAAAAATAGAAGTGAATGTTTAAGATCATACAAAACAGTTGTAGTCAAAAATTGAAGAAAAAGTACAATTGAAAGGGCACTACTGAAGAAATGAGGAGTCTACTCAGGTGAGATCAGCCTATTAATTGTTCATTGCTGCATGACGTAGTATTGGCTTAAAAGCAGTAATCGTTGCTTCCACAGATGTCCTTTCAAACTCTCTGACACAAATAGTGCCAAACATGTAACCTGATCCTACAGATCTTTAACACCAAAGCTACTGCTTGGTACCTTAAATAGCCTGACTAAAATCAGTACAGTTAACCACAGTCAGCAGTCAGTGCTGCAATCAGTGGTATTACAAATGTACTGAGCTTTATGCTCAGCATTATTTGTAGGAAAAGGTCCATGGTTTATAAGAATCAGTTACTTGTAAATCTGTAGTTACAACCGTACACACTATAAAATACTAGGTACAAAAGTGATTTTGGTGCTTTTGGAAGAAAAGGCTTTCTTCTTTTTTTTTTTTTATTTCAGAGTCCTTGTCCCATTTCCCTCTAGAAAATTCACAGTCTGACCAGTCTTACCCAGTTGTCCCATTAACTCAAGCTTGTAATAAACATCCACCAAATAACAGTGCTTCCAAAGATGTGAATTGCATCTCCACCCTTTTCATTTCCGAGAGGTGTTTTACTAGAAGGAAAATCTGTTTGCCTCTTTTCAGCACTTGATGTTCCTGCTAGCTTGCCTGACCTGTTCACTTCTCCCATTAGAGCTTATTTGTGGCCACTTCAAATCCCAATGCAGTTAAGAATTGCAGTTTAAAAAGAAAAAAAAAAAATTGAAGAGACGCTTGCACTATTGTTTGGAGAAATACTCTTGATCTTAGTCTTGTCTAGGCTGGGATTTAAAGGTGTATTGTTAGACTGTGAAAGTGTTCACTAACTTGGTTCTCTCTCAGAAAGTCCACTAGACTGTTAGGCTAGGTCCACTAACATTTGACCAGTGCACCTCTAACTCCTAATCTAGCCACAGCCTGAATTTTCAGCCTGACTTATTGTTTTCCAGTTTCACTTCTTGCCTTCTTGGGAATTTTTAATTCTCAGCCTCTGTCTTGTGACCTGGTACCCAAATAGCAAAAGGTAGACCCAGCATATTTTTAAAGATATTAGGGTGCCTGTGCTAATGCATAGTCATTTTTAAAAATCTCACTGGATATGGAATTCCATCGATTCCATTGGTCAGGAGGAATTGGGGAGGATGGACAAATGTACACTTGGAGCAGCTTCAAAAGGGGAGAGGTAGCTGCAACTCATTGTGCACAAGCTGTTTTGCTATAGCTGTTACCTATGTATGACCTTGCTGCAATACAAATGTAGCAGCTGTTAACCATTTAATCCAGGGCCAAAATTGGGATGATTTAGTTGACTTGTATTGGTAAACATGCACAAGTAAAAGTTAAAGCACAAAAGCTACTGGGCTATCCCAAAGGGAGCAGCAGCTATCCTTTCCCTTTTAAAGCTTCTCTAAGTGTACATTTCTTCATACCATGATGGGCCTAGGCATATCTAACTCAGTAGCTGTCTACACTCTTGGTTATCTAAATATCTTGAAAATCTAGCCCAGGGTGTTGTGGAAGAACAAGGTCTATACCTTCCAAATATGTAAAAGCCAATTTCTTACAGGTTCAGGGAATGAAAACCTGAGATTTGGAGTTTCTGGTTATACTTCGTTACTGCCCTAAGTTGTTCAAGTTTAGGCTTCCCCATTATACAGAAATGTGCTTATGGATCCATTGCTCCAGCGTTTCTTGTTTGTGTTTTGTTTTGCAGTACACCCACAAAATAATTTCAGTCTTACAAGGGTTTACTTCTACAATGGCTGTATATATACTAATTCATTTGAATTTACAAACTGCTGTCTAAAATGCTGTCCCTAACCTACATTAAAACCAGAACTTTCTAAACACAATTTGATCGTATCCCAGGTGACTATTCTAAGTCAAATTATACGCTTGCCTGAACTATTTTAAAACTATCAAAGTTGATCAAACACTATCCATACTTGATGTCAATAGGATCATCGATGTTTTAAGCACTTACGACACGTTATGCTGTAAATAATGTAATGTTTAGGTTTGGTCATATACATATAAGCAGTTGTCTCTAAAAACTGTGGTATTTGGAGTGCAAAGAGGAATAATTTTCACTAAGCTGAACATAACAAAATAACTTCCATTTCTTTGTTACAGAACGAGTTTTGGTTAAAATAAAGGACTTGACAACAGAGAAAGCTGATGAAGTGATTTGGGTTCGTGGCAGGATTCACACAAGCAGAGCTAAAGGTGAGCTACATTTATTTTGGTAGTGTACTAAACTTAATATTTACCTCTTCCTTATGTTGTGTCTTTCAACAAAAAGAAGCCGAGACTGTCGTCGTTTTGACAGTTGTGTCCAACAAGAAAACACTGAAAATTTCAAAACTTTTTTTTTTTTCCAAATGCTGTTATGTAAAAAGAAATGTAAAATGTGGTAGGTGCCATCCTCCTGCCCAAAGTAATGGTTTGGGACAGTTTTAGTTTTGATTTCTCTCTGAAAGATTCAAAGGGACAGAGAATGAAGAACTTTGAGATTTTTTTTATTTTTTTTAAGTAAGCTTCATTCTTTATTAAAATTACACATGTTGCTATAGGTGGCCTTGCTTAGTTTTCTTCATAAAAATGGTTTAAATGGGCAGACAGTGTAAGACATTCTGTGTTTTTTGGACCTAATGGGTTTATGATGAAAACACATTTAAGGCTCAGACATCTACATTGCTAAGCAAAATGGAATCATCTTCTGAGTGTCAGTCACTGGGCAAAGGCGGACCAAAATTATTCTGTGCAGGCTGAGAAATTAGCATCTGGGTTTTTTTTTCATTTTGTTGCATCTTGTGTAGGAAACAAAAATAATTACGGTACAATTTCAAATACCAAACTCTGAGCATTTCAACTTCAAATACGGAGGTGGGGCTGGGGGAAACACCTCTTCGCTGATAAGAGAGAAATCCCTTGGCGAGCCTGAGTACTGTGCTGTCAAAAAAGCTGAATGACAGCTATTTTTCTTCTCTGGAACTTGAATTTCCCTCTGGAGATCAGTTTGCAATGTGCACGCTTAAATAGGCTTTCACCTTTTCAGGTGACATGAGACACAGACAATGAGTGTTGATTTCAGCTGTATTTATCTGTTGTGTTGTGAGACATGAGTATACCAAGAACATGAAGAAAATGATGCTTAGAAATTGTCTCTGATAGATCAAACTGGGAGAAACACAGAAGGTGGAAGGAAAACGTAAGTCTCTACACAAGCAATTGGGGCAGTTGATTTCTCTCAGTTAATAGTTCCTGGGTTATGCCAAAAAGATATAATGTAGTCCTTTTTTCTTTCCAGTAAAAAAAAAAACCAACCCAACAAAACCCTCTTCCATTTTTATGATCTTGGGTCTGGTTCACAAAGATAAGGTCACATGTATGTAGGCAACACACTTGCTTTATCTATACATACACAAAAAATGTTTATTTTTAAAAGTTTAGGGAAATCAGTATGACGTCTACCTTGCTCTGCCACACCTCTCGTGCAAAGGTCATTCATTTTTTTTTTTTCAGCGTGGAAGATTTGTCTGTTTCTTAGAAAACAAACAAAAAACCCCACTTTTGTGGATCGGCTCATTTTTTTCGAAAGCCACTTGGAAGTACTGGTACAGAAGGTATTATATATGTAATTGTTGTTATGTATGTATTAAGATGGTATCCATGCAATAGATATATATATATAATCGGTGACTTTGAATTGGAGGGAAAATGCAGATTGCTGCTAGAATTATCAGCATGAAGCTGCAGAGCACTAATGTGTAGGGAGCTACCGAATCTGTAGGGGCTGAGAGGAAAGAGT